AGAGAGAGAGAGAGAGAGAGAGAGAGAGAGAGAGAGAGAGAGAGAGAGAGAGAGAGAGAGAGAGAGAGAGGGGAAAAAATCCTTAACCAATACCGTCCTGCTTCTCGTAGCGCGGTTCTGGTGGCACTGAAGCCATACTCACACTGGGAATTTACTGCATGAATCTGACGGCTTTTAAGGCATCAGCGGGATGGATCTGACCACAATAAAGTTCAAAGATAAGCTGAAACAGTGAAACAGGCTATGTCCATAGGAAAGCTATGTACAAACAAAGGTACGTCCCGTCGTCCATAGTACAGGTATGTACATAGCGGTACTATGCTCGTACCTTTCTATGTACAGCTATGTACATAGAACGCTATGTCCATAGCACGGCTATGTTGACATAGAAAGGTAAGTCCATAGTTGAGCTATGTACATAGTAAGGCAATGTACGGATGGCCGCTGCATGGTACTTGAAAGCTATGTACATAGTACATCGATCTATGTCCATGGTACAGCTTTGTAAATAAGAAGGCCATGAGAAAACATAGTAAAGCTGCTTGCTATCTCGAACCTGTCTACAACGTACGTCTATGTACATGGAAAGTCCGCAAACATAGCACTGCTCGGGACACAGTTAACTATGTACATATCAGTGCACAATGCACATACTTGCATAGCATAGCTGTGTACAATGTACATAGTAAACCACGTGCATAGTACGGCTATGTACATAGCAATAGGACGTGCAGTGTAAGCACTGCGCAGCAATACGGCTATGTACATAGCCATAGGACGTGCATAGTTAGCAATCTGCAGCAATACACAGATCAGCGTAGACAGCATGTGCATAGTACATACCACCCTGGCAAGCTGTTCTATGTGCATAGTAAGTACAAACTGATCTGCGACGACCAATGTACATAGCTTTACTATGTGAATAGACCGTACATCAGTGTGTGACCAGCAGGGAAATCTCAAAGCCCTGAAAGAATCAGTTGCCCTCTTCAACGGGTGAAGTCAGGTCCACGGGATGTTGCCTTCAAGCGTACAGGATTCGTTTGCAGCAACTTTGCGCCGAACTCAGTAGATCTAGTTTAGGATTGATTGCGTCCTGTTCCTTTATTATACAACAAAGACATGAATCAAGGACCGTTCACTTCTCTCTCTCTCTCTCTCTCTCTCTCTCTCTCTCTCTCTCTTTTTCTTCCCCTTCTTCCCCCGGCCCGCCGCACCTGTTTGTTTTAGGCTATTACTTTTCATTTTCGTCGGTTTTTTTTT